ACGTAGTCGCAACCATTTGTCTGGTAAAATACAATTTGGTTTATATCCGTGCAACATCCGCAATTGATAGATCGGTATTAATTTGTTCTGCACAATAGCTCTTTAATTTATATTTTTACGCGTGCCTGACTTAACAATGAAACAATATTTTTTTTAGCGAAATACCAGTTTTAATAGATTAACTTAAAAAATGAGCAGAAACAATTTGTAATATTAATAATATTTCTCGAGAACAACAAATTAGTAGCAAATTCATCGGATCGTTATTACATTTCCATTTACGTATACACGTAATTCTCGTTTTGTGATCTAAAGCATCTCCAAATATTCTAATAACATTTATATCGAATCTTTTACCGATTGCATCTGTAATTGGTATCTTAAAAACTGCAGAAATTTGAATTATCAAGAATTGATAATAGATCGATAGAATATGAATACACAATTGGATAAGAGATAGCGCTAGTCTACCGACTATTAAAATTGTGGTCTTTTTTGTATAATGCAATTCTATTTTGTAATTTGACGTCCTATCTGTAACGGTCTATGTATAGCTAAAATAAGTTGTACAAACTGGCCAGATGGCTCTACCAAGGCCCTTACCTCTTTTGTAAAAAATATATTTTGTTAATCTCTCGTAAACTGCAAAAGTTTAAACCAAGAAATTTACAAAGTATCAGGAAAGTATAGCCAGAGGAGAAGCAATTGTGAAATCCTACCATGTTTCGTGAGTAAAGAGAGAGAATATTATACCGCTCAAAATTGCATATATGTATGTATGTATGTATAGATAAAATAGTTTTACTGTATATACAAACTGTATATACTTTAAATTGTGTGTATATATGATTATTTTTCCTTCGCGTTTTTATAAAATTTGTTTTTATAAGAAATTTTTTTCGGAAACAACATCTTTACGTGTCTGTTAATTCTAATATTCAGTCCTCTTATACTCTATAGCTTCACGCTTATAGACTTATAATATTCTAAAAATAACATATTATATGTTCATTGTAATTACACTGCATAGAAAATATCCGTGATTTTGTATATTGCTGCTTGACGAACGAAACTTTTCACCTATGCATCACACGAAAAGTTAGTAAAAATGCCACTTTATTGTGTAACATTATTTAAAAATGTTATTTATTTATAACTTTATTGCTATATAATATTTGCTAAATTTTTATTTTGAAATAGACGCACTAATTACAAATGCAACAATATTTTTACGCCTAAATTAAATCTAAATCAACAAAAAACGTACGCAAATGCTTTTAACGTTTTAATTAAAAAATAAATATAAAAGTTTCATGTCTTATACTTTTTCTCTATTATATTAAAATAAGTAAGCTTTATACTTGTTTTAATTAATATTTTGTCTTTTTTAAATAAATAGAAAGATAATTTTTGCTTGTAAAAATCCTTAACTAAGAACGACACTCGATGCGATACATGCGATAATGCTTCCCTTCCTATTTTTTTTATTTTCGTGTGGTATTTCATCTTTTTATATTACGCTATTACTTTTCGTTACACGACGTATATACATTGTTTCTAAGATAATCTAATTTGATAAAAAATTTTATATCTCATGCTGCTGCGTGGTCGCAATCACTTTGTTGCCATTATCCTGAGAGAGGAGTGGCGTTTTCGTATCGCGTTTCCTCATGATGCTTCGTTGAGTCATCGAAGCGTCAGACCTGTAACTGATAACGACATCAACAATAAGAAACGTTTTGTACAAATTGTCAAGATTGCTTTTAATTTTTAATCGTATAAAAATCTTATCGTGTCGCGACACGTGTACGTTCGTCATAACATACAAGTTACATTGAGGCAAAATGTGAAAGGGATTTTGCGAGGCCTATCGAACGGTCTCGTAAATTCTATTCACCTATGATAAGAGCCCTGCCGTTGTCTCTGCGGCCAAAGATGAAATGCGCCATATATCAGAGGATTTACCAAGCTGTTGCTCATACCGAAGAAAAATATTCCGGTCTGCAGCTCCTCGCTGAGCTGAAAGGCATTCGTTTGTTAGCACGCGACGTTGACTTTTCAAAGTAAACCAATCTAATCCCTATTCAAAATACACTAACGTGATCATCCGGATTGATGAACAGGAGAATTATCATCATCGTGTAGTACGGCGTCCACCAAATTAGAAATGCCGCTACGATGACGACGCTGATGCGCAGTGACTTCGTTTTCGCTCGGTTCATCAGTCTTCTCCTATTTAAGTCGCTGTTTTTGTACGTCTTCGTTGGTCCTATCTTGAAATGTCTCTGACTTCCTGGAACAAGATATTTCGTTAGATATGTGTATATAGCCAGACTTATTATTTAATATGTTACACTACTAGTGACTCAATTCTCTCTAGATGTCTTCACTATTTCTATTGACCTATTTTTGGTAGACTGTTGTAAACCACGCTATGACATTTAGAGCGCTGCATATGTACTTTGTAACATTTTGGAAAAATACAAAAATCTTGTTGTTCATAAAATCCAGTCCGATTTCAATTTCCGACATCAGACAATTAAGTTATTAGAATTAATTTTAGCAAAGACGTGTCTGAAATTGAAATCGTACTGGATTATGAACAACAAGATTATATAATCGATCGAATATTTAAGATTGTCGAAGATTTGCCTGCAAAATAATCGAAAAATTACAATTTTGTAATAACGCAGAAGTACTTACGAGAGATAGTGATCACCGTGGATACGTATGTGGTGATTAAAATTGCTAATGGCAGGAGGAACATAAAGAACAGACTGAAACTCGCGTATAACTGTTCCTGCCAGGGCTCAGTGTAAAAGCCGTGTGTCACGCATTGCGTAAATACCTCGATGAATGGTCCTTGCGAAACATGAAATACCGCGATCTGTTAAAATAAATCGGTATATAAATATGCGGACATTAATATTAGTTAAGCACATGGATGAAATAATGATAGAGTATGTTGATTAGGCACGACTAGCGGATGCGAGAGAGAATATAGAATTCGCGGAAAAGTTCAAAGATTTGCGTGAAGACGTAAATAAATTAGCTAATGTAAGATATTTCGCGAAAAGATATTCGTAAGACGTTAACATATGTTTTTTTATGTCTTGAACAAAAGGTTAAAATAAATGTATGGGCTTGGCACAATGCGTAGTTCAATTATAATATCTTTAGATATTAGTTTTCAAATTTATTAAGGCTAAGGGTAAATTTGAAAATACCAATAATTTATTCTACATATTTACACATTTTAATCTAAATGTTTATTATAATTATGTATTTATTTATTTTGTATGTGAAATAATCTGGACCAGAATGAGCGTTAAAGCAAAAAAACCGGAAATTCGAGATACGACCTTGTGAAAGAGACCAGTCGACTTACATAATTTAAATAAATATTTTAAATCAGAAAGGAACTAATATGTGCTCTTGATAAATGGGAATAATATTTACGTTGCCAGCTTTCATGGCGAAAGCTTGCAACATAAATATTAAATACCGAACACTTTCCTTCTCCATTTTTAGCCGCGTAATAAATATATACATTATTTTATGTGTATGTTCAAAAATATATAAAAGTAATATATAAAAGTAATATATAAAAGGAACAGAGCTAATATCACTTTCGACGTTCATTTGTAAACGCCGGTTTATCGATTCGACCTCTTCGACTTGACCGAAAACGCAATCGCATTTAACGGATCAGCTGATTTCCAAATTCGCTGTGTTTCCTCGATAAGGCCGTAGTATTGAGGTAAGAGATGAAACAAAGGGGAGGGTTACCGTTGCCGTGGAAAGAATCACGTGAAACAGGAGAGGCGCATTAATTAAACGGGCCGTTTGTCTCTCAGCTTGTCAAGAGATATATACGTTTGTCATCAATCACCGCTATACGGACCGCGTTTCTTTCTACCGTCGCGACAACATTGTTCCTTGGCCGGGCGATGGCTCGCGATTTTCGTTCTCTTCGATCCTAACGCGTCAGGTGACCTCGACGAGAAAACACGGTCCGAACTCGAAGTCTTTGTATCAGCCCTTCGACCGAAGCACTCGATGCCTCATTAAATCTTGGGCTTATCTAGAATCGGTTTCTTCTCGAGGGTAGAATAGCGCACGACTGGACTACCTCGTGTCTGGTGCAACATCCGTCATTACTTCCCAGCAAACACCAAACAGTTACATAACAATATAAATGTATCATATCTTATCATTAAATGTAACAATATCAATATAAATGTAATATAACATATGCGTGTTATATTACATTTATATTGATGTTATGTAACTGTTACTTTCGTGCTTGCTGGGTTATTTTATAGATGCATTACTTATTTTATGCTAATAGATATGAAATGCGTACACGGGTTTTTGACCCGTCTCATTTTCCTCCTTCACTGGAAACGTATCTTTTCCGTATGTAAGAGAGGCATCGATAATAAGTCCAGGAAGTAAACTGATTGAGTTATCGGTACATTAATTATTCTGTATTAAATGCCTAGAATTGATCTCGGGAATTATCTAAGAACCATCTGATCGATGAGAAAATTTACGTAAGAAAATTTACAAACTTTATTAATTTAGAATCTCATCGCGACCATCATGGTGCATCTGACCGCGAAGATCCTCGGTTTAGTGATCTCTGCGATCAAGAACCTTCGCGAGCTCAGAGGATCTACACCGCGTGAAATTCTACAGTATATTTCATCCGTTTATAATATTTCGTCTGCCGTGGCACGACGTCAGGTATATATTAATTATATTCCCCGTTTTATCGACGTGATCGCAAATGAAACGATATGGTATAATTTTTATATTTGAATTATATATACATATTTTTTTATTATATAATTGTCCCATTTAACAATTTAAATATTAGTAAAGTTACGAGACAAGTAAGTGAGGGAACAAAATAACAATTACTTATGTGTTTGTTTAAAAAAATTCTTAACTATTCCATACAATTTGCATTACGACATAGCAAACGATATATAGCGCGTAATTTTTTCTGGTAGTATATTAAAATGAATAAGTTTTTTTTCCGGGAGTCGTTATTCACTGTGACGTCGATTGATAACCATTAAACTTTTGGAATTTTTTGCCGTGAGTCCTGTTTTTGCGTCACTTATTTAGAAACTACGTAATTCAAACTAGGCATATCAGCGCAATTTTCCGATAAAAGTACATATTTTGTTGATGATTAATTTTATAGTGACTCGTTTATCTGTTAATTAGAAAGAAAATTTATTGCATGTTTTTTTTAAGTCTGTTTGTCGACTGCGATTACTTTATCGCAACATAGGTGTGTGACACTCCTGCAATCATTTATAATTGTTATCTTGTAGTGCATAAATTTGTTCTAAATCATTATTAAAATCATTCATTTAACATTATATACTGCCATTTTTAATTCTATATAGGTACCAGTAGAGTAAGAAGACAGGCTATGTCATTCTTTAACAAAAAAATCATCTGTAAAACGCTCTATATCATTCTTCTGTCTCTGTTTTCCGTGTTCAATTTATTTTTAATAATTTTTATATGTGACCGGAAATTTTATTTAATACATGAATACATACAATATTATATAATATCGAGGGCACATAAAATATGAAATTTGTTTTGTGACAGTCGAAATTTCAAATTATTTAATTCATAAAAAATTCTTGTGCACTCTTGATAAGTAACAAAACTGTTAATAAATAATAAAAAATATGAACAGTTTAATATATATATGTTTTCACGACCATGTGTCAATTTGCTATCATAGATGCAGAATGCTTTGAAGCGTGGAGTCATTTATGGCATCCTGAAGAAGACTGGTAGTCATTACAGTTTGCCGACCGATAATGAATTTGCACGCCAAGAGGTGACTGTTCAGGAGATCGGCATGCTGGATTTGTATTGCCAGCGAAAGGTTCATCGATCGAGGGGTGGCAGGGCACGACGTAACAGTGATGCTGGACGCAGTCGAAGGGTTGTCTGCAGGTGCAGTAGAAAAGACGCGCGACGAAGGTCACGAGAGTGCAGGTCAAGGTCCTGCAGGAGGAGAAGAAGGGGAAGATGCGGACACGCAGACTTTGAGAGACGTGTTCACGACGAGACCACGAGGCCTAGAGTCGGACTTATTTCGCCCGCTGACAAATTGACTGATAAGTCGACTGTATCTAACCGAGTCACGACAGGGGACGACGTGATTGGCGGCATTGAGCGAAGTAATCGCTCAAGCATGCCTTCCGAACAATGGGATCGCAGCATACCGTTATCATGTTAATCATGGAGGTATTTCTGTGATATCGCTCCCTCGGGAGTCCTAAATCTCATTTAATTTGTCAAGCAACACTCGAATTGTTTTGGAAAGTAAATTTTGTCCCCATTGCCATTTGAATCTTTTCTGTAAGTCTTTCCATGTGCACTAATAGTTTTCAATACATATGTAGTTTCAATACATGAAATTTGATAGATATATTGAAAAAAAAGAATAGAATTTTATTTGTAGACAAATGTTATTTGTACAACTACCTATGCTTTTTACTATTGTATGTTTTTACTGCTGAATAAAACATAGTGAAACTACAAAAACAATTTTATGATTTAATTTGTTTTATATGAAAGACCTTATTTTATATTAAAGCCAGTTCAAAGAAAATATATTAAAATTTATATATGTTATTGAATTACCACGCATTTTTGCGAACGCTGTCATGTAATTCAGTGATCGCTAACCTGGAAATGAATTTTTTTCTATACATATTTGTGTTTTTACTGCAGCAGTTTTACTACACAAAATATTTTTGAAATAAAAATTTTATAATTTAACTCGTTCGTGCATTGAAGTTATTACGGAAACGTATAACATTCATATTAAGAGATATGAAAATGTATATTAGATGCGCTATCAAATTATCCAGGATTTTAAGCAAATGCCATTTAATTGCCAGTAGTCGCTAAGTTGAAAACGCATTCTTCCTACATACAGAAACTCCTAGAGAGAATGATCAATATCTCAAGTGGTGGAAGCTGAAAAGTTTCCATGAACACATGCTGCGGAGTTACAAACTGTTGAGTAAAGATGAAATTGAAATAAGTTCACAAAATACACGAAACATTTTCTCCGGCAATAACAGAATATTTCGCGAAATATTAATTCTTTCTTCTGGGACACCATGTACATGTACCTTGAGGGATGCATGTATAACACTGTGTTTTGCATACTAATGACGCATACGATGTAAGTGAGACAGAATACATATATGTTGTGTAATATTTGCTGTATTTCTCTATTTTTCCATGCCGCGATAAAGGGATGTATGTTATGTATTGCATTATTTTCTTATTTATCATAATTAATGTGCACTTTGCGTTCTCTTCCCGGAAGCTCGATGCAAATCAGAATATTTCTGATTTGTTATTTGTCTCCTTGAAAAATTCTCCTACTATTTCCGTTCCTTAGGAGACTTGGAACGAAAATTTACATACATTACTCAGCGTTTTACACGTAGTGCAGTTACAACTAAGAAATTTTCTGACAGATGCTTATCGACTAAAATAAGCTACGCCCATTAAAATAATTTGTTGTAATGTTGCGTGATATAAATAGGTATTAACAACGGTAATTATCGACGGTAAAAAAGTAAAGCTGCCATATTCCGATGTTTTTTGTTAGAATGCTCACATTAAAACTGAAATTAATGTAGGAAATACAAGATAACTCAAGAAGTTTTCATGCGATGTTATCATAAAAACATCCTTCATTCGTGATAAAAGTGACACAGACATATGTATATGTAATATAAAATTACATTAATTTTACTTCTAATTGTCAAAAGAATAATAAATTTATATCTTAGATATTTATATCTTAGATATTTATTAGATTAGATATTTAAAAATGTATAAATAATTTTACACATATTATTTAATGACGATTTTTGTCCTACATTAATGTTATGAATTGTTCAAAATATGCTGTTGGATTATCTCTTCTAAAAATTTTTTTTTCTACAGGCAATATAAATAATATGTATTTAATTATATGTTCCTCGAATTATAACTTAAAGCAAAAACTTGTTTCTTGCTCGTCAAGTTTATGTAATCTTTGATATTTATCCGAACAATTATCTGTTTCTAGAATGTTAGTCAGAATTAAATCATTACTAATGCCATTTAACTTTCACTCTTTTCTCGTTATAAAGTTGCATTAAGTGGAATTAAATATAATAATATAGACGTCTGATGGAATTTTTTAAATAACTTGAGCTGCATATTCCTACATGAAACAGGTTTATTGAGGGACATTTTCTTAGCGACCAACTGCCTCGACGACGTAACATTTGTAACTGCTCGGAGAATCCATTTGTCCGAGTTGACGATATAATTTTCTGTTGTAAATTGTCGTCAGATAAAAAACTGATCTTCAAGAAACTCAACGCATATGACATCTTAATGATTGATTACGTGTCTTTTTAAAAGATACGTTTTTACAGCTTTAAAATACCAGATTAGTGATGTAATAATTGAGAGTTTAGTATATAAATCGTTTCTTTACTTTATTCGTGGAATCGGAGATAATGAGGTATGCTTTGAATACATAATGTATATTAAGCATGATTTCACGAAACAGGAGTAAAGGTTTAAAACGTGCGTTTTCTGCAATATTCATGTTCTTAGATCTTCGCGATGATTGTCGTTAGATTTGTACGAAAAGTATGACTGGAATAATATCAAATGTAAAATATTTGATATTAGACTTTGAAAAATATAAAAGGAGAACCTAAAAGTATCTAATATGTAGCTTCTATATAACAATATTATCTGTAATACTCTGCAGGAAACATCGAAGAGTTTGTGTGTATCCCCTCTCATAATAACAAATTGTTCTCAAATCTAGGAGAATATATGTATGAGAAAAATAAAAGTGTAATTTTAACCTTTCCACACGGATATACAAATGTAAAATACGCGACGGTGTGCATGCATAATGTACCTAATTAAACTACAGTTTGTAGAATGAAACATCTAAATGGCCAAACAACAGAATCGTATATTTCGGCAAAGTCGTCTTACCTGTGGAGTGGCGAGCACAAGAGACAGCATCCAAGTGAGAAGGACGAATCGCGTGCAGTTCTGAGACGTATTGAGGCCCTTCATGGGATAACGCACTGCGACAAACCGGTCGACGCCAATCAGCACGAGTACAAATGTACTAAGGTACAGGCTGAACATTTGTAGGAACTTGAAGATCTTGCACGCGGCATTTCCCCACAGCCACGCGACGTTGTAGCTCCAGATCGCCTCGCCGGCGAGGCAGAAGACGGTGACCAGCAGATCGGCCACCGACAGATGAAGGATCAGAGTGTAGATCGCCGAGCAGCCTCGCTGCCTCCGACGATTCTTCTTGATCGAGTATATCGTCGCCAGGTTGCCGACCAGGCTCAGCACCGACATAACTGCCAACACGATGACTTTGAGGTATATCGCGCTGGTTAACGTGGGCGCGTGTTCCAGACACGTGGCGTTCTCGTTGTCCCATTCTTGGTACCCGGTGGATCGTTCGCGGCCGATGAAATTGGTGAGATTCTCGCAGGGGACCGGGAAAACAAGGGGGAGACTGGTGACGCTCGACGAGTTGCTGCTGCTGATCGTCGGTGGCTTCATCGTTCTCGGCATCGGCGTCGGCCGCACCTCGTTTACCTGGGCGATGCTTCCGATTCATCGGAGATACGATGTCGACGGTCGAACACGTGCCTCCGTTCTCCAGCGTATTCGCACGATCATCTTAAGAGATAAGTTGCATGTTCCGTGGGGGCATCCAAAGTGGGAAGGATGATCTCAGGGTCTCTCCGGTTTTCGCCTGTTTTTTTTATTCTCGTGCGATTGATCGCTTTATATTTATCGTTCAGGCGACACGTGGGGAATGAGTCAGTTTCCGCCTCGCGCAAAGGGTAGCTGCGCCGGTCTAATAGAGATTCAACTAACTCAAACAATTAGTGGGAAGCTGCCTGAGGGCAATACGGAAGAGTATTGCATAACAAACACTGCACTGATTCGAACGTTCCATGTTAATGATTTGAAGAATTTTGTATTTGGGTTGTTATATTTGATATTCAGATATTCCAAATTTCGGGATATTCGAAGAATTACCTGTCAGTCACAATGAGAATTGTTAATTGGACGATTTTAATTTTCTTTATTTTCGAACAAATTTCTATGCCTCTCTTACCAACATTATAGACAACGATTTCAATTTAATTTTATTAAATTAAATCGTATTTTTTAATCAATTTTTTAAACAAATTTTTTAAATTCCATTTTTTCGTACATACATACCAATAATAGCTGCATCAGCTCTTTGTCTCGATAAGTTCATACTTATCAACCGAATTATTATTTTTCGGCTCATGATTGGCTGAAATAATTTCCACATGCCCATAAGAAAAGTGAGAGAGAGTTTAATTAATATGAATTTAGAATTCTTCTAAATATTTGTTTAATTATTACTTGTGAAAAATTATGTTTATAATTTTACTAAAAATAATGATTTTATAAATGAATTGCATAAATTGATTAGATTACGCAAACTCAAATTAGCTGGATTGTAGATTGATTAAAAATAAATTAACGTTTCTGTTTTAACTTGCCAACAAGCAAGCAATTTACAGTAATTCGATCTTAGATTATGCACGAGGGTTTTTACCACAACGTGAACTGGTTTTGATATGAAAAACTAGACCTTGAGTATACTTAACTATCTATCATGTCGTTGTTCGTGAGAAACTTAAAACTAAATGATTCGTCGGTAACTAACCACAATATTGTTTTCATCTATATGACTATAATCTTTAGAAAATTCCTTAAGAATATGTATGTTTGTTTACTTTTATCTTATTGTTAGATATATTTGTTTAAACGCTTGTCAGTAATTCTTTTTAAGAGAGAAAATATGGAGCAGTTAAAGACGTAGTTGTTAAATTAATGATAGTTTTTGTAAGTGTTATCACAAAAAGATTAAACATGCGCAGAGTGCTATAATGTGCTAAATAATTATCGGTTGTGTGTTTTTTTAGTTATTATCAGTATATTTACTACTAATAATCATTTTCTTGAGAAACTCACAGAGATCCTTTGTTGAAAATTATATTACGTAAAACTTGTCCCACGTAAATCACACAATAAAGTCGTTTTTTTTTAGACACACAGTTTAGACACGGTTTCGTTAATAATATATTATTTTTTATTTGCGCTTTGCAGATTTCCTGAAAGATACACTTGAAGATGGTCTTCCGACATTTTTAATTAATTATTTATCTAAAATTAATCGTTTTCTGAAATATTCTTCTTCGTTTCTACGTCGTAATGAATCATTTTCAAAAGTTACTTAAATCCCGTGTGCATAATAATGTTCTTAAACGTGATACACTTTCTCCTATTCCATCTTTCTTTCGCTTAAGTTATTTAGCACTTTTGAAAGTTTAATATAAGCATTTTATTAATATAAACTTGGCACGCTAAGTGAGAGAGATGACTCGCGTGTTTTGCAAAATGAATGAACGCGATAGCGATTTTACTCTGATGGAGTTTCTACGGAATCACACGTTGCTTTACGTGCACGCAGTAACAACTCATTCCCACAGCGTAAACTCGACTGATCGATGGAAAATTAGTGCGACGCTATCTCACTCGCTTCACCGCAACCATCTTCCCTCGTCACCTTGATCTTTTCATTCGCGTTTATGCGTATTTCATTGAGCATTCGATCGTATCGATTGCGACAAATTATGGCGACTGATTGACGAATTCATCCTTGTCCATTACTGTGTATAAAAAAGCGTTAAATATCAATTTAAACAAAGGCACTATTATAAACACCTAATATGTTTTCTGTGACAAGAGCATGGAAGAGCACAGAAGATGTCTACGCTGGTGAGAAAATATTTTCTTAATTTATGCTACTCGATAATAATCTTCCAGCATGTGTATAATAGCTGTTCTTACTTTTTTTTGCGAGGAATGAAGATGCATACTTTTTTAAAGATGTAGTTATAATACGAAACAATCGTGCAAAGTTATTTCCATATTCCTCTTCGTTTTCTGAGCTATTAACACAGTTTTTTCTTCGAGCACACTGAACCTTTGATCGGTGCAATTTCACGAGCCATACATATATGTTTCAGGACTCTTAGGTAGAAAGATCCGGTTAGGTCGCTGAATTTCAATGCAATAACCGGATTGGTAAGTTATATCTTCCGGGATTTATGATAGTCCGACAAAAAATTGGAATGTATTAGATTTGTCAGATTTTAGAATCTATTTGTTTTTCATCATTTTTGATGCGCCTGCCAAACTTTCGAACATACTAATTACATAAGTAACAGAATAGACATTACGGTTAAAGAAAGAATTTTCAAACATTAGAAGGAAAAAGTTAATGAGAAATATTTGTTTTTCTTTCGCGTTCAAACTTACAATTAGCAACTTTTTAGTCTGATGGATAACGTAAGTTAAACATGCATTCTAAAGATGTGCTATTATACGCGGACAGAGATATTTCTTCTCGCATCGATCCTCTCTGCCACGAAAGTTTTGAAAGTGCAAAAGGATTTATATAATTCAGAAAGAAGAATTGTTAAGACACCTTTACAGGAATCTTTCCTTTATCACTACTATGAGAGTATAATATTAAAAAACATCTTATTTTTTCAAGGAATTCCGATTTAAACACGTAGAGTACTAGCTGCTGTCTTAATCCTATTTTTAAATTTGTTTGCACGCGATCAAAAACATTGTGTACTGATCTATTTACAAAGTAATTAAATTAACAGTTAATAAAGTTTATAAAACAATTATATATTTGTATCTATATTGCGGGTGCGTGTATGTTGTATATGTAATATACATATACGAAACAATGATACATTATATTTACGTCTCTTTTTTATTTTCCTTTCGACTTACTTACACGGGAAAAATTGCTGTTGAATTAAGCAAAATGAAGTTACTTGTGAATTAAACGTTAACGTCATGGGCTGATACTGATGTTGTTTTAACGATTTTATTTCAATTACACTGATCTTGTTGAAATAACATTATTCTTTTTTTTCCGTGCAGAGATAATGCTCTAATAATAGGATAATTGGCACGTTCGAGAACGCAGTTGAGCTTTCCGTCCCTGGCATTGGTACACACAATCGGTGTAATGATACGGAATATAATAGCGGATATTCAGCTAATAGCAGATACTCTCAACGAGAAGAGACTCCTTGTTATAATCGTAGAGGGTATTCCAAAACGATTTAATTTACATAAACATATAAACAGTTAATACATGTATATTAGTTCCAGTATACAATCTTTAGCAAAACTTTAATTTTACATGTCCTTTAAAGTTCACTTTTCTTTTCAGATCTGTATTCTAGATTTAAGATCTGCGTTTTATTGATAGACAAAGTATTTACGCTAAGACCTTTATTACCCGAGCACCGTTTCTCACACGGAATGTTTGATTTATCCGTTACGATATATTTTAAAAACCGGATGGAATTATACTATCTATGTCGGTTTGCATTGACAAGAATGACATATGACCTTTAATTCCAAAACTAGTAGTCTGAATTTCACGTGTAGAAATATTGGCGGAATGCAAACATTGTATCTTAACGTTGAAAAATAACATCCCTAGCTACATTTTGAAGCTTCCGCGCTTTTAAAAACAGGCTTTAGATGATACAAGGCATAGAGAGATAGCAGCACCGTTAAAATAGCTGCTTTAAGAAAAATAGGAGGACTAGCAGCTCGAAGAATCGCGAAAGCGGAATAAAAGATGAGGGAGTCTGTAAAAGTTGTAATTTTTTTTGTTACATTCGTGAAATTATGTAAGAAATAAACTTTTTTTATTAAGTAAATAGAAAATGTGCAAATATAGTCGGACTGGATCTTTTGTGCTTAATATTAATGCGAATTATAATGTACATTTTTCGCTTAAAAAAACTACGCGTCGATTATCATCTTCAAATGTAGCCTTAAATTGAAGCTAGCATAGTACAATCGCATAATTAAATTGAAAAACAAATTAAGTAATACAGATACTAGTTTTAAAAATACTGCAGAGAATACTTTGCTAGAAATATCACCCAGTTATCAATTTATATTGGTATATTTTCTATTGACTTGATCGTTATCATAACGTCATGACTCGCTTATTAAATATCTTTCTATTTGAAACTACAGTCTGTTGTTTATAAAAGATTAATTATTCGAACATTTTGTTCCCTGATTGATTCGGATAGAGAGAGAGGGGGGGGGAGGCGGGGGAGGGAGAAGAAGAGAGAGGGGGGAGAGAGAAAGAGAGGGAGAGGGAAAAAGGAGAGAGGGGAGAGAGAGGGGAGAAGGGAGAGGGATTCTACTGTATAATTATATAATTAATATAATTCATATTAAATTTAAAGCCTCCAAAAGTAAATTCTGTCGATTTGATACAAGTTTGTTGTAATCGCATTGTAGTTTTTAAAGATTCTGGTACATAAAATAATATCAAGAAATAAATCGAGTTCATGAAACTTGCAAAATAGTTATTTCACGCTTTTTTTTAGTTATTCCTTTAATAAATTTATGAGAACTATTTTGTTAATTAATTAGGCAATATAGTTATGTTTTGTTTCATGGATATTCTCTCTATTATATAGTAAAGCGAAGCTAATATGGGGGTATCACGCGTCAGGTGACAGGTACACACGTATTAACCACGCTGACATTTCTCGAATTCCGTAAGCCAGACATACAAATAAATTTGCATTCTTTTATATATTAATATAGATAATTCATTACACCTTGAGCTATCTTGAAACTTGAAATCTATCAACGTCGAGACTTATGAAATATATTCTTTCTTTTGTAATGTTATTTTTTCGACAAAGATAATATCAGGAGAGATAAATTAGCATCTTCATATTATATGGGTTCTCGTTATTTTATATTAATTATCCCTCGTGTGAATCATATCCAACGCTTGGTTAATATTATTTTATATTTGCGTTTCCTTGTGGATTGTACATACGAAGCTAAGATTTCTTGTAAACAAGAGCTCGTACAAAAAATGCGAGTGTATGCTGCAGGGAAGTTAGCAACTTGTAAGAAGTTGAAATTTTTTTTACGTTTCGTGCAAAGTTTGTTGCTTTTTACATTTATATATTTTTTTTCTTAATAGCGGTGATGATTAAATAGCCAAACACAGAAAAATTAGATAAAAGAAGTTAGTATATCGTAAGTCTGATTAAATAAATTGTTACGAATAAACGCTATTCTACAGAATATTATTAATATATTTTATTTCAAATTTGCACTTTGATATCATCTTTTATCATTGACTTGTCAAATGCAAATATGTTGTTTTCTTTGTATTGTTGCGTTTTGTTGTTTTATAGTGTAATATCAATAGTAATTTAAAAACATTAAAAAATAAACATTAATTGTAAAAATGTAATTTGTTATTACGCCATCCAGTAGTAAAAAATATAACACGCTAGATATTTAACAAAATTATTAGCAAAACCATAAATAACTTCAATCGTGCAATTATTATGCACGATGCATGATATAAAAAAAAATTAAAGCTTCGTCAAACATTAATAAATAAAAATAAAATGTATAAAAAGTTTTTTCATTAAATAATGATATTTAAAGTGAATACTTATCATGTTGCAACCACGAATATTGTTTTACAATAATTTTCAATAATTTGGTTTAAGTTATTTCCAAAAAGAACGTTATTTAATTAATTTTATATTTTATTAATTCTGACTCTATATATTTCATGCAGGGCAATCAAAAACCGTTATGGTAATTAAAAATATAAATAATAAACGAAAGATTTAATTTTTGAAAAATTTTGACAACATTAACTACATTGACTATAACTGAATACTGAGTTACTGTATAGGCGCAGTAACAATCGTTTTATTTCTATTTCTGTTTCAGAGCATGTAAAAGATGTGTTGTAACCCGATTCTTGAACCCGCTTCGAAGCTTTTCCTCTCCATCCGTTACCGCAATACATAAAACTTCGAGGACGTGAACCGAATCCCGCAGTGACGTTATTATTCGCCGACGTCATTATGCAGCGTCTGTGCCTCCCTCAAGGACCGATAGTGATACCAATAGTGATCGAGAAGGAGCGATAAATCAGGATTTTCGCAAAGCTTTGCCGCCCTGCGACCGTCGGATGTCATTCTCCGCGGCTCTCATTCGCGAATTTGCAGTTCGACCTGTCGAGTTGTTCTTCACGCGTTTCGCGCGAAGATCATCATCATCCAATGGCTTGCGATCCAAGTCGGACTTGAGAACCTCTTTTAGATTTGAGCCTCATAACCCCTCTTATTGTTAGATGGGTCCTATAGTTTAACACCGATTTGACTCTATAGAAAGCCGTTTATCCGAAACCTTCTTTAAGGTTTCGAGACAGAATTTTTCTAATTGTAAGAATGGGTTGTCAATCTTTGCAAAAAGCCGGATTTATGGCTCCTTCTCAGTCACTACCGGTATCACTATCGGTATCCTTGAGGGAGGCACAGACGCTGCATAATGACGTCGGCGAATAATAACGTCACTGCGGGATTAAGTTCACGTCCTCCAAGTTTCATGTAACTGCTTAACCCCCAACCTGGAGGGGCCAGACCCCCAAAGGGGTGTGGCAGAGCCACT